GTGATTGTATTCTATTTCAATACAGTAATACATTTCAAATTTTGTTCAATGATTCCACTGTGTTTGTACTATTCTCTTTACCACAAAAGTACATTTACAGGGATTAATTTGCTTGTAGTACCATAATGGAACATGTATCATCAATTTTGTACACCAATATCTAATGATTGGACAAACAACTAACTAGTGAAACAATGGGTATCTTTTGTCTGGGTGATCTAAATCAATGTACCCATGGTATTCCATGATATATCTATTGTTTGAACCATTGATTGTGCAAATGCAAGGTATCTTTAAAGATATGAATGCGCAATGCAATGTTTTGAACATTGGAGAGCCTGTGTTACAAGTGTTTACTGTTGTGAGTTTTGTGTCTAGAGTTGTGGAAAATGACATTAAGGTTCTGAGATAATGGTCAAAGGGATTGCTAAAAACTGTAAATGCCATAGACCTGATTACATTTTATTTATATTTACAAACATTTGCGGGTGGTTGTGTCAGGAAAACGTCGCAATCAGCATTGAGAACTTACACTGTTTTTTTATGTCACTCTCACCTCTACAAGGTAATGGCTGGAGAGAAGCGTCCAGCCCCAGATGCTGGAAAAAAGCCCAAGACCCCCAAGAAGAAAAAGAAGAAGGACCCAAATGAGCCTCAGAAGCCAGTTTCGGCTTATGCCCTGTTTTTTCGAGACACACAGGCGGCCATTAAGGGTCAAAACCCCAACGCCACCTTCGGAGAGGTATCCAAGATAGTGGCGTCCATGTGGGACGGCCTGGGAGAGGAACAGAAGCAGGTAGCCCCACGCTCCTCTGTAGCAGTCCTACTTACACTACCACCTACACACACACACACAAGGGTTTTATCCGGATCCAAAACGATCCAATTTAGTGACAATTTCAAAGTCTGCCAAATCCCATAGAGCTGATAACAATCGAAGTACAAGCATTTCTCAATCGGGGATTTCAGAAGTAGCTTTTGTGTTTGTTCTTGCTACAACATGTTGTGACTGTTCTGAGTAGGCCCTCAGCGAAATGACATTTCATACCGTTTCGGGTATTTCCCACATAGTACTGACGTTAAGTCATTCAGAAGATGCTCTTATGCATCTTGTCTTATCCCTTACACTTAATGCAAGCATCAAGGAGAGTCTGTTTGTGATGTCTGTGCCGTCAGTCAACGGAGGTTATTTCCCTACAGAGTCCTCCTGTATGACACCCGTCGTTCACACCTGTCCTTCTTGTCATCACAGGTCTATAAAAGCAAAACAGAGGCTGCCAAAAAGGAGTATTTAAAAGCCCTTGCTGCCTACCGTGCCAGTCTGGTTTCCAAGGTAAAAACAGCTTTCACTTTTCACCTTACGTACACAAGTGTACGTAAGTAGTCAAATGTTCTGTATGCGCTACTTTGACATGCTAAATCGTCCCTAGATTGCTCTCATAGATCATTTTGTAGAGCCCCCAACCCCCCCCGGCTGTTGTCCAAACAATAAACATCTTTGTTTACTAGTATTCAGTAAGTTTATCCTCCTTTACTAACTTATATTTTAACATGTTGTTTCCTCATAAGGCTGCCCAGGAGTCGGCGGAGGCTCAGACCATTCGTTCAGTCCAGCAGACCCTGGCCTCCACCAGCCTGTCCCCAGGTCTGGTGTTGCCTTCACCCCTGTCCCAGCACCCCTCCATGTCCTCCATATCCTCTGCAGCCCAGTCCCTTCAGAACGCCATGCCACGGGCCATCGCCCCGAAGCCATTGCAGATGAGGCTGGGCGGCGGCCAGATCATGACCTCCGTGACGGTGCAGCACCAGAACATGCCCAATGGCGTGCCGTCCCAGCTTCTGAACCAGATGGGCGGAGGCGGCGGGCCCATGGTGGCTGGAGCCCAGTCCACGGCCGTGTCCCAGATGAGCCCACCGATGCAGGGTGGAGTCGGGCACATGCAGCAGCTCCAGCAGCAGCAGCAGATGCAGCAACACCTGCAGCACCACCAGATGCAGCAGCAGCAGATGCACCACCAGCAGATCCAGCAACAGATGCAGCATCAGCATTTCCAGCACCACCTCCAGCAGCAGCTTCAGCAACACAGCGTGCAGCAGCAACAACAACAACAACAGCAACAACAACAACAGCAACAGCAGAGGCATGACATGCAGCAACAGCAACTGCAGCTCCACCAGATGCAGATGCAGCAGCTACACCAGCAGCAAATGCAGCAGCACCTCCAACAACAACAGCAGCAACAGCACCAGTCCCAGTGCTCCCCACCACAGCACTCACCCGGCACGCCGCACTCCGCCTCCATGGGCAGTCCCCAGCCTGCACCGCAGCAACCACACCCCTCCCAGATCCAGGCCCACGCCCAGGCGCTCTCCCAGGTCTCCATCTACTGAGCCAAATTCATTGAAGACATCTACCTTATCTCAGAGAAGAGGAATAGAAAAAAAGCATCATTTTGCTTTTCTAAGTTGCACTTAAGAAGTGTGTAAAAATTAGAAATGGTTTAAAAAGAAGTTGTCCATTGTTATAGACGGATATGAATACCTACGTACACATGTAAAGGGGCAAATACCGTAGCTGGATTTTGTCTATAAAATAGGCTGTGCTATGAGAACAAGTTTGTAGGCAAGTGCCCATTAATTGTTTATTGTATGTCTGTTTTTCTCTCAGTTGTCAATGCAAAACTGACTGGTGGCACATTCGTGAAAAGACTGGTGCGCCTGACTCACACAGGGGACAAATGCCCTGTTTTTATTTAACAGTAAAGCTTTATTTATGAGGTCAAAGTTGCCAGTTCAGCCCATCTACTGGACAGAGGCATTTTGTGTAGCTCTCATCTCTGGCATACAAGGACACCTGAACAAAAGGACTTGCAGGCACAGTACTGGACAACATAAACCCAGACAAAAAAACATTTTTTTCCACACTGGCAAGTATATTGTGAGACTAAATGTAACACTACCCCACCCGTACATTCCTGCAGATGTAACTCTTTAACACGTTGCCTAAAGGGAAGTTCTCCATCAAACCATCATGCATTTCAGGCCAATGTGATATTTGAGCGCATTCATCCTATGTCATGAAAGCAAAAGACAATATCTAGAGAAATAGGGGGAAGTGGAAAAAGGTCTTTGTGATGGGGAATTGTGAGGGTTGCTGGATGGAGAAATGGACAGACTGACAAAAATTAACTGCCATGGCATCATTTGTCATCTTATGTCATAAAACTGTACCTGTAACCTGCTGTAAGTGTTTTGTAGAGTTGGGAGAACCAGACCTACTCTTTCCAGTAAAATACCCATTTGCTTAAAAACTGTGTAAAACTGGCAGTCCAAAAATTGTCTTTATGTATTTGTTTTTACCTCAGATGTTTAACAATTAAATTATGTTTGTATTTTGTGTAATAAAGGGGATATTTTATGGTACATGAAAAAAATTCCAGGATCAAGGTTGATGGTTCATGACTGATTGATGTATTTTTACACTTCGCAGTTCTGGATACTGCAAACATTATCAATGGAAATGAAAGAAGCAAAAAGAAGTAGCAGAGCCATTTTGTTGCACTGACAAGAGTCAATTGAAAAGACAATGGGGGTATTTTCTTGCCAGATGTAATGACTGCTATTCCTTATGAAAAGAGAAGTTGGACATTTTTCATATCACCTGTTGTAAAGTTTTAATATGTAAGGCTTTAATTAAAACATTGGTAAAATGACCCCTGGTTTGGTATATATAACGATGCATATCTGCTCTTTTATACTTTTTTATGAGTTACAATAGCAGCAATTAATTTCTTTGTATTTTGCTTACAGATAAAGATACAACTGCTTTCTGAAAACTGTCCATAGAATAAATGCGTTTCAGTATAAAAAAAAATGATATACTTGTGTTTGAGCTTTCAATAGCAAATGTAATTTAACGATTGCGTTCCGAGTTTTGCTTGGCTGTTAAATTGAACTGTAGACGTTCCAGCACTGATTTGATAATTGCCATACTTTTGTATGAACCATAATACACAGACACACACATATATATATATATATAAATATGTATTTATATATATATATTTATGTATGTGTATTTATATATATATATAGCATCAGCAATTGTGTGGTTTGATTACAGGCTCGAAACGGCCTGAAACCCTGATTTGCTGATTGTTGCTGATTGTTGTTCAGAGAAATGAAGGCTATTCCATGCTAGAAGTTGGCAAGAAACTGAAGATTGCGAACAACAATGTGACAACTCCACCGAAAAATGCAATATGTCTCTAACCAGAATATAAAGTAAGGAATGGGAGGCCCCGATGCACAACTGAGCAATTACATAGGATTGCCCTGATTGAACCCACAACCCTAGTGATAAACAAGATATTCTCCAACTTTTGATTGAACCCTCAAGTTTGAGAAAATACATTTGGAAAGCTGTTCTAATGTGTCTTCTGCATTAAAGTGTGTGCGATTGGCACGCATTAAAACAAATTGGTAATGTTTTTCATGAGGCTGAAGCTGTTTTCTAAGGTATATTAAGTACCAGTCAAATGTTTGGACACACTTATGCATTCACCCAACTTTTGACGGGTACTTTATACATTGTTAAAAACCTAATTAACTCCTATTTTCCTGCAATTAATACTAAAACCCATTACATTATGCTGCCACCAGAGAACTTGAAAATACGGGTCGTAGGAATCAACAAATGCATTAATGGCTTACTTGACCATAAAAGAAACAAAGGATGAGTTAAAATTGAACTCACAGTATGCACTGCTCCAATGGCTGTTATCAGATGTAAAGTCATGTACAATCTTGACCTTGTTTTAATTGAATTGAAAATCTACACAAAAAAATCTAATTAAATTAACTTTTTAGATGTCCTTTGAAGACAGTTACATGTGTCAGTATCCACTTTAGGATGAAAGACTGGAAAAAATTGAAAGCTACTTTTCCTGTTGCCGTTGTTAGCGTGCATATGTTTCTTTGTGATTTCGACACAGTCAGGAGTTGGTGTAGCTCAGTGGTAGAGTGCATGCTTTGTATGTATGATGACCTGGGTTCAATGATCCCCAGCTTCTCCCCAGGTCACCGTTGCATATGAGAATTTGTTCTCAATCGGCCTACCTGGTTAAATAAAGGTTCAAATAAAACATTAAGAACATTGTAAATGTGTACAACCGACACTGTTGAGGTTAGAGTGGATCGGGATGTAACCCAATATTCCACCTGACCGATGCTGAGATTCTGACTGTTTCTTCCCCACGAACTAACCTTGTGGGAACGCCAATGAAACTGCTTTATTTCCCAAATTCTATCATGGAGCTTTTAGGTTACATCAACATAAAAATGGAGGCGGGGCTCGCAAAAGAAATAGCAACAAAGCAACTGGTGCCTGCAGTGCCAGGGGTAATTATTTTATGAGCCTACTGCAATAGAAATCTGGACCTGAAAATATAATAAAACAGTTCTATAGGGGTAAAAAAAAAACTAAACAGTTTCCCATTCATTTCTATACTTGGGCTTGATAGAATGTTCAATTCAGCTTTGTATTCAATTAGTTTGATAAGGCATTTATAATTTGGGTTTTGAGGGCAAACTGCCGTTGCTGTAGTGTCGTGATTGGCTCTTGAGCCGTGTGTGGTGCAACAATGGCCATTTCTCCGCCCAGCGTGATTAATTGCAGCATCTGTCCTGTCAGAAGGCAGTAGTGAAGAGGTCTGCAGGAAAATTGCAAATAAGGGCTGGCAATACTGTTAAAGTGCTTATGATGAAATGAAAATTAAAAAAAGCAAGTGCCATACATGACCTGAATCTCAATATGACTCCTATTATGGAATAGGTTTGGTGGGAAGAGAAGGGGTGTTGGGAGGGGGTGTTGAAGAGTTGGGTGTCCATGGCGACCAAACACATGCTTTAAAAACACACATTAATGAGGCAGAGGGAAATTTCTGTTATTATTCTGAAACTGAACAGATTCACTCTCCCATTAATAATGCATGGGTGTTCTTGTTATTCTCTTAGCTTCCCATAGCACTCTGGTCACTGTTTGTACAAATATCTCTCAGCCACGGCACAGTGTTTTGGATAAAAAGTTTTCAGAACATTGTTAGCCTACATCAACAGCAAACATTATAACTAATGATTTACTGTTTCACAAGAGTAAGTCTCCTTTGACTGACTGACTCGATTAGATTAGATTGAACAACTTAGTACAGTGCTTTTGGAAAGAGTTCAGACCCTGTCAGGACTGGGAACCTTTTGTTTCCACGCCGGGCCTTTAGTGGGGTGCACACGGCTAGTTCCGGTTGGGTGGTTTGTTTGGATTGATCATAGCCGGTGTTAGTTAGCTAATCAGTTGGGCTATTTAGTTCCCTGGGAGTTTTGTCACTTGGCTTTGCATTGATTTAGGTTAATAAAGAATGCCTAAGAATGCCTAAGAAGATCAAGGTATTGGAGTGGCCATCCTCCCCATGGCGGTGAGTCTAAGGAACATGCCTCTGGCACTAGTTAAAGAGCTGTTCGTGTTGTGTGTTTTTTGGCTCTGTTTGCACTGTTCATGAACGTTTAAAAATGAGTGTTCTAAATGCTGCAGCTATGGGTCAGAACTAATTCCTTATGTGTAGACAGACCTGGCAAATAAACCTGATTCTGATTGTGATCACAAAGCCCTGACCTTAAATCTATAGACATTTTGTTGGCAGAACTAAAAAAGCATCTGTGAACAAAGAGGTTTACAAACCACTGACAACAGTTCTGTCGGAAGGAACGAGACACTCTTTGTGGGAAGCATGTGGAAGGTTACCTGAAATGTTTGACCCAAGTTAAGCAGTTTGAAGGCTATGCTACCAAATATGAATTGTGTATGTAAATGTTTGGCCTATTGGGAATGTGATGAAAGAAATAAAAGCTGAAATAAATCATTACTATTCTTCTGACATTTCACATTCTTAAAATAATGTGATCCTAACTAACTGAAGGGAATATTTACAATAATTTGTTGTCAGGAATTGTGACAAACTGAGTGTAAATGTATTTAGCTGAAGTGCATGTAAACTTCTGACTTTATATTTGTGTTGTGTGTACTTGTTGAGAACATATTATCTCAGGCCATACGCCTCATATGCTTGGCGTTTTGTTAGAGGAAGCATGTGGAGACAGATGTGGAAGCTGTGTGATCCTTATGTTTTAATGATTTATTTGAGTCCAGATTTTTCCTGTTCAATGCACATATACAACGTAGCTGTAACAATAGCCCTGCTGCCACTGACCTCCAGACCCACGCTAGAGGTCCAAACGCTTAAGGTCTGGCCTTGGACTTCCAGACCTGACTACGGATTCAGACCAGCCCCCATATGCTTCACAAATAGGTCTTCTAAAGAATGTTTTGGTCTTTGTTCTACATATTGGCACCCTTCAATCATATTGTGCATTACTGTCGACCGGTGCCTGTTTAATGCACTAATCAAAGGTATAGCACAAACTACGAAATCGAGTTTGAGTGGTGAGGGTTTTTCTTTCACATGGGAGACTATGGCAGGTGGCACATGTTGTAGTTCCTGGTTGGTGATTAGGGTGTTAGTTAATGAGCACAGCTGGGCATAATTAGTGGTAAGCAGGGTGATCAGATAAGTATTTAAGTCACTGGGAAATATCACCTCTTTGTTGTTCATTGTTTTTTAGTCATGTTGGTTTTGAGGTGAGTGTTGGGAGTTTGTATGTAGGTCGCTGTGTTCTGATGTCTCCATTAAGTCGCTTGTTATGCGCATTTTTATTTCCATCCACAGCGTTTTAGGTTCATTGTTTAAAGTGTTTGTTTTAATTTAATTATGGCTTTAACGCCAGAAAAGTTATTGCTCAGTCTACCTCTGGTTCTTCACCGCATTACACCACTGTGGTTTGTGACGAGAGTTCAGACATCACACCGCAAGAGCTTTGGAGCTGTTGAGGTAAACAAAAGCAAATATGTTTTTAATGTAATTGTTAATCAAGTCACTAAAAAGCATCTAAAAAATGACATGAATGTAATCATTTCTTAACAGTGTTGTGGCGTTAACAACAGATGCAATGTCAACTCTTTGTTGAGGGTAACCATTGAGCTCCCGAGCCAATGACAGGGCCATGTTTATGTCTTCTAGACCTTGCTGTCCACTGGTCAGCTTCTTTAGAGAACTGTTGACCCCATGAACTGTGTTTAGAGGAGTCGCTCGCTGTTCAGACTGAACTATTGACTCCACTGACCAATGGTTACCTACCCTCAGTGAACTTTTGACTCCCCAGACCATAGATGAACATAACTGGTTTGATGAACAATCTCGACCGTGTCATTTCCAGATGAACACAGTGTTCCAAGGCAAAAAAAGTATTTTATTTGTCAAATGCAACAAATAACGTGCTGACTAAGGTGTGCTTTGTAAGTGGGAGATTTGTACAGGGTAAAAGTGTCATTGAAGGAAGGCTATCACAATGACCCAAAGCGCAGCTCCAACTGTACAATACCTATTTAGGGAAGAGGCAGCAGTCAGCTGGTATTCAGTCTATAATAGAGTGGCCAACAGTATTTCTTGTTGGTGGCACAGATGGTGCTTGCAAAACAATGATGTCAGATAGCTGGTGTCGATTACGCCCAAGATAACAGTGTCGGATCTCCGCAGTAATGTATGAATGAGGAGGGGGACAGTTGGCAGGTGTAGTATCACACCACAGAACCTAGCGGATGTCTTTGTCCACATCCCAAAGAACAGGAGCTATGATGCATGAATAGGGAATGATGTCTTCTGTTTAGTGAATGCCTGAGAGGACGTGTGCCTTTGTAAAGTATCCCCCCCACACACAAAAAAGCACTTTGTGATGATACTGAGCATTAGAAAGGTAATTCCAGTTATCATCTATTGGAAAAATAAAACATTTGATTTGTTTCAATATAATCTTCCACTGCAATGGTAGTTTTGTCACAAGAAAGACTTTTTAGTATTTATGGTTGCAGCAAGAAATATAGTTAAATATATACGGTATTTCTGTTTTACAACTGATCTAGTCACCTAAACTTTTCACATTTTAGCTATAGGTATTTCGCTTTTTAAGAAAGTCAAATGGGCACCTTTTGAATCAAACATATGAAAAGTGCACTATTGTATTTCACATACACAACTAGGCCATAAAATGTGTGTACTGATTACCAGAACATGGGGTGCCAAGTCATCATACTGAATTTGGGATTTTCATTAGTAGTCAGTTAATCATTACAATTAAATGAAATAAACATTTGAAATATATCAGTCTGTGTGTAATGAATTAATATAATATCCAAGTTTCATTTTTTGAATGGAATTACTGAAATAATCAAAAAATGTTATATTCTAACTATATGACCAGCACTTGTATATATGTGGAAATCTTTTCTTTTTTGCAGGGAGTATGGGGGTTGGGTTAGAGGTCTTTTAACCTGACACTGATCGATGATACTGCCTTTCCTCATGAACACAGAACTACCCTCCCCTCAGCCCCTTTCTAGACATCTAAACCCAGATATATCAACTGCACCTGATGATGAACAGGTCGCGATCAGTGGTTCCGATCAGTTCGCTAGTCTGTCATCCAAATAACCATATCGCCAATTCTTTACCAACACTGGCAATCTTTTCTAATTTGGCTCCATTGGTTTTAATGGAATAGAATTGAACCACGTGAATAGACTCCAGATTAAATCTGGGCGAATTACTATTGACCCAGAATGTCCGTTAACCAAATGCAGCATGTTGACAGTTAATGGCGCTGTGTTTTTAGATAAAAAATAATATATAAAATAAAATCATATTTATAAAGGTATATATATTTTATCTAGGTTATCATGGTTAGGGTAATAAAATAATATTAATAATATAAAATGTATTTTCTTTCCATATATTTTAATATATAAACATACCATGTGGAAATATATGAATTTCAAAAAGTATAATATTTCAATACATTTTCATATCTATATTTAATGTACTTAAGTCATACATTATCACACTCTGATTCCACTCATCTGAGTTTTCTTGTGTTCCACACCCACCAGGTGCCTCCCATTTTCCCATTATAA